AGTCGAGAAAAAGAGCATGATTTGTTTTCATTGATTATTTGAATTAAAATTGAAACTAAATATTTTTCTTTTTTCTAAACCGGCAGGAGAGTGTCGATTGGAATTGGAATTCGAATCGCAATGTTAGTTACATCTATATTCGAACTCAAACTAGGCAATTAGTCGAAACTGCACACTGAATAAGTCAAAAATCGCGAAACGGAGAAAATAATAGCGATGAATCTATTGTGCATAAAGGAATAAGGCAAATGAAAGCCTAATAAATATGGTAGCGTCACAAGATCACAAGGAGACATATTTGCTTATCAGCTCGATTTTCAGACCATATGTCATCCAAGAAAAAATACACTAATTCCTATTTTTCAAAAGTTCTGTTGGTTTCAGCAATCTCTAATTGTCACATATATCAAACTTGAGATATTACTGATTATTTTCAACAAGTGATAATTTAGAAACAGAGGAAGCTTGAACTATGACCCTTTACTCGATCGGCGGCGGCGGCGGCGAAAAATCGGCGGCTAACACCTCTAGCGAAAACCTTTAGTCAAGCTGTACAGGAGTATATGTAGAAAATAAGTGAGTATTAATCTTTGAGACAATGTTTTTTTCACCTTGACACATACATACAAATGCAGTTTATTTCATATGACCCTCCCTTCAGTCGAGGAAATATACTCGCTTTCATCCTCAAGAAAAAGATGAACTTCCATGGATAATAAATAATATTTTGGTTTTCATGCGGTTTTTATTCTGTCTATTTTTTTATTATAAACTACGATATATAGACTGCATAGTATAGTAATTAAAAATAATCATGTAAGTTGTTGAGATTAGTAATTAAAATAGATGAAACAATTCTAATATAAATAGAACTTGATGATTGATAAGGATGTTCATTTAAAGTATCTCAATGAATTCCACTATACAGATCTTGTATTAAATTCTTGGAGAACTCTTTTCACTGACTTGTACAAAAGCATATTTGAATCATGATGATAGTATGAAAGTGCTTTTGCATAGTTTGAAATGTTTTGTGCCCATTGTCGAAGTGGTTCAAGCTCTATTTTATCTGCAAAAATACCATAGCCTAGCCTTTCTAATTACCAAGCATTGAGCACTTGTTCATATTGATTCTCGACGGGCACACTCAAAAATGGTCGTTGTAAGCTTACTTCTTCATTCATAAGAGAAAGTCCACCATTATCAAAGACACCTTTAGCACATGCTAAATCATCTACAAATCCGTGTTCAGAAAAATCTTTGAATTTCAGATTATCAACTTTTTCCTCGCGACCAAGTTCATATATGATACATTTTTCACCAAAGGCTTGTAAAACAGAAATAAGAGACGTATCACTTTTGCTACTTTGATAAACAAGAAAATATTCACAATGTTCAACTGGTAATGGTTTTGCATCAAGAATACTCTGACGAAGAATTGGTGGAACAGCTATTGTATTACCTTTATATTTGTCACGAATTTCAGGAGTAAAAAAAAACCTGTAATAATGTAATAATCACAACGTGGAAGTTTTGCTTTGACAAAACATTTGTATGTATAAAATGCTATTGGATTTGACTCTCTAGCTTCTTCTGGAATGACATATCGTTGTACAATATGTTGATTATCGATCGAAAGGATGGGTAGTCCATGTATTTTAGCAAAAATGTATGCAAAACTATCAAAATCACTAATAACAGCTTGAGGCATCCATGAAACAAGATTTTTATAATATGCATCAAGGTTTTTGTTAAGCATATCTGGCATGCGTTGCATGGTGTGTAATACTGAAGCTTTTTCATCAAATACATTATTAACATATTGCATTGTTAAACCTTCAATTTTAATTATATCAATAGCTGCTTCACCTTCACTCGCTTCGTCACAACTTGGGAATCGTTTTGAAAAGTTGTCATGAAGAAATTTATATGCACGATTGCTTACGACGACTTTAACATGATATTGCTCCTTTAGCAGTATTTCAAGTGTGACTTTGGATTGTGTTGCATGTCCCATTCCTTCACCTACGATGCCATAAAGAATACGCATCGTCTTAGATTTTCGAGATGAATTAAAAGGTAAAATTGCTAAATGAACAATACGATCAGCTTCTTCTACTATAGTTTGAATATTATTATCATTACCAAGGATAGCAGAACTAATCTTGATATTTGTATTAGTAAATTCTTCGTAAAATTGATCCATAAGTTTATCTAATTCGAATTTTGCTGAATAATCACGAAATAATTTAGTCCATGATTTCATGTCAGAATCATATTCATTCATTTCACCATATACATTAATTATACGGCTAGAAGGAGATTTTTGAAGTAAACGTATAAATGCCTTTAATACAGTCAATAGATCAAAAGATTCTCTCGATTCAAATCCTTCATATAACATAGTATTTATTTTCAATTGATTATTATCCAGAAATATTCCAACATTAATTAAAATATCAAGTTTTCCGAACTGTTCATCGATTTTTTCAATTACTTCGTCAGTCGTTTTAAGATCGACTGTATTAAGTATAATAAATTTGGGCTCAATATCTTCATTGTTCAATTTCTTTATTATTCGTTCAAATTTATTTTCATTGTTTGAACAAAATAAAACACATATACTTTTTTTTCCTAACTGATAAGCTATTTCATCTTCTAATTCATCACCTGTACCAATAATTAAAGCAACAAGCAGTGACATTTCGACAATTTAGGTAATCTAAAATTAGACATAATATATTGTATAATACTATAGTAAATTATCTCTTCTCTGCATTAGACAATTCTTTTGCGAAGGAATGACTGTAGAAATTAGTTTCTATGGTTTATTTCATAGATATATAATATACATATTTTAATTGTAAATCTTTTTTATGTGATGGATGATACAATGAAATTTATCTCATCTTCTCTCTGGAAATAGAAAGCTCTTCAAAAAGAGACATCAATTCTATGCGATGAAAATTTGCCGTTACGTTTTGATTCTCGAACAATTGAATTTTAGTGGCAATTCTATGGTAATAAAAGCACAAATCATTTTATGGTGATAAAATCATGATAAACAATGAAAAAGAAACGAACAAATAGATGATTGAGAAAAAGTTCCTAAAAACAAAGGCTAATAAATTTTTCTCAGACACAAAACTTGCTTCGATCAAGTGCATAACAATATTACAAGTCAGGAATGAAAATACTCGCTCTCTCATCTAAGTAGAATCTGTAGTTAAAATCATAAGAAGGCTTCACAATCTGTTATCGATTATTAAACTTTCACTGCTAGGAAAAACGTTTTCGTTTCGTGCGAATGTTTTTTTCGCGTAATATGAGCATACTTCAAAAAAAATTTCACTCTAACGATGCAATCGAATTTTAGAACTTCTAACCGAAAGAGTGTATAGTCTGTTCAGTTCATTGTCCGTTCGCAAGAATGAAAATACAATAGAATTTAATATCAAAATTTCCATTAGAGCAATGAGCACTGATATAAGAAAAATTCATTTGAATAGTGCAGGGTCAATATAAATAGTAAAGTGGATAATTTGGGTGTGGGTGTGGGTGTGGGATGTGCATGTGGGTGTGGGTGTGGGTGTGGGTGGGTGTGGGTGTGAGTATGGGTGGGGAGTGTAGGTGTGAATATCCGTCCACATCCACCCACACTCACACCCACACCCACACCCACACCCAAATTATCCACTTTACTATTTATATTGACCCTGCACTATTCAAATGAATTTTTCTTATATCAGTGCTCATTGCTCTAATGGAAATTTTGATATTAAATTCTATTGTATTTTCATTCTTGCGAACGGACAATGAACTGAACAGACTATACACTCTTNTTGGCGTGGATGAATGATACTGACACCTACACCCACAACCACACCCACACCCACATCCACATCCACACCCACATCCACATCCACACCCACACCCACACCCACACCCTCTAGATAGCCACCACACCCACACACCACACCCACCCACACCCACCACCCACACCCACACCCACCCCACACCCACACCCACACCCCACCCACCCAAAGGTATAAATCTTTACAGATATAATTTTCAGCTTATTAAAATGTTTTTTCACAGTTAACTAACCTTTAGTTTCTAACGCTCATGAAGTGTTCACTATCGAAAAAAATGAATATTTATAAAAGTTATTATATTTCAAAAAATCTTAAATTTGAACACAATACAGATGTTTATTTAAATCTACTTACTTTCTTACCAACATATATAGAGAAATGTTGACGGATTTTCAGATTTCTAATAGTACTTGACTATATTATAATGCCAAATAGACAAATTGATATGGTGTTCATTGAGCGAAAAACATATGAGCGAACGAGTTTTTCAGCGAAAAAAACACAGCGAAAAACACCATAGCGAAAAAAAATTTCAGCGAAGGCGCATGACAACGAAAAAACAAAATCGCCCTCACCCTCACATTTACATCCTCACCCTGTTTCGCTGATATATATTTCGCTCAAATACTTTTCGCTTATTATTTTTTTCGCTATTTCCTTTTCGCTGAAAACTCTTCGCTGAAAAGCCTTTCGCTGATTTGCCACCATCCCGACAAATTATTAGGGGAGTGAACAAAAAATATCAAAATGAAAATATGAACTATCTGTTCAACATAATAGTGGCCAAAACCATTGATGTCATATCTTGAGAACGGAAAGAAATACAAAGTTGCGACTTGTACCATTTGGTAGAAAACATGTACTCGATTGATAAAAATGAATCAATGGTGTAGGTTTCAATTGGTGTCTGTGAAAGTATAGGTATGTAGGGTGTGCGTATGCACTTAGGTCTTGTCTTTACATATCCAAATTCACTATAGGAATTCTTTTATGACTCTTTTTTGAAAAAAATAATTTTTCGACTCGAAATATTTTTGACATACAAAAATGTATCAAAAAAAAAAAGAAAAATGAGTAGAAGTTTTATTTAATCTTCATTCAATGAATCCTTAGAAGATATCACTAGAGCTTTTATCTATTTGATGCAGGATGTGAATGAAATGTGTTTGAATATAAATTTCGTTCAATCGATTTTTTGTTGAATCGACGATATTTTTCTATCCTACTTAAATCAAATGATTATTATGCAAATGATTAGAGAATTTATTACACATAATTGATAACTCTCATCATTCGATAAATAGAATCGTATTCCCGTTTTCTTCTGAGAATCGATTAAATCACATAAGTTGATTTTTGAATTGATCTCTTATCAACACAATTTGACTCTTTCTTATGTCTTGTTTAACTTGATAATAATTTGAAGACAAAAAAAAATGAAGTGATTAGTTATTATCAAGCATATATAAGAGGTACAATGGTGAATCTTTTATGCTATATAAATATTTACTGTATCTGTTTTCTTAATTTTTGTTTTGCCCTTGAGACTCATGTCATTATTGTCTTCTTTTTTTTTTAGTTTTTTCTTTGAACTTGTTGATATTCCTTGACTGATTCTTTTAACTGTGACACAATATAAGATAGTTTAATACATAAACATATTCTGATATTTATTAGAGTACATTTTGTGCATGTGTTATATCATGAAAATTCTATCTAGAGATGAAGTCAATGAAGACGTTAGAAAAATCTCGTCATATCAATGGTTATTCATAACTGTTATATATAATTTAACTTCTTTTACATGTTGTCTACTAGCCATTTTTGCTGCTGATTCCTATTTTAGATGGGGTGTCTGGATGTGGATGGTTGAAAGTCTTGTCTTCATTTACATTCACACCACACCATCTCGAAATTTGTATCATTAAATTTGTGCAAGAAATTGGGACACACAGAGATCTACGTTTTAGACTCGTAATATAGAAGTAGCTATGAAAGAATTTAACATTTGTATCTCTATGCCCACATCTATATTTTCTTATTCAGCTGGATCGGTTGTTCGAAAAACGAAAATAGATTTTTGACAGGAAGCCTTAACTGTTTTCTTAAACATAGTTCATATTCCATTTGAGATGATTGTCAAAATTATGTTTAAGCAAAAAAGATCAGCGATTCACAATATAATTCATTCTACATGTTTTTAATTTCAAATAATAAGTAACTTTGGTTTAACATTTGAAATTTGATAAAAAGAGAAACCTTAATTAAAATATTAAATTGTTCGCTAAAAACAACGATGACTCGTCTGATTAAACAAAGTTATTCTTTCAAACAACATAAAAATGAAAATTATATATGTACAATTTCATATCATTTGCAACGATTGATGGTGATGATAGAACTTTTTTTCAAAATTTCTTTCTCAATATATCCAGTACGCTGATAGGTTTTATAATTTAAACCAACGATGGCATCTATTATAGAAAACATATCGATTAAAATTTATTTAGTCAACTTCAGAAAATTATCACAAAAGTTTAATAGTGATGGTTCGAATTTGATCTCCAAACTCAATCGCAAATAATAGTTTAGCTAATCAATTCATATTCTTTATTCTAAACATGATTGATTTTCTTATTAATAATTTCAGATATAACTATTATTTTAATATTGTATATCACATACTTTTTCTTCATCATTTGAGTCATACGACTAGATACTACTAGAAAGAGATGATTGATAGTTCGATATATAAGAATAAGTACATCTATTACCTACTGTTAATGGCTGTTGATGAAAAAACAAATATTACTCACAATATATTTTAATTAGTATGAAAGAAGAGCAAAGAACAGTTATCTTAAACTCAGTTCGTGTTTCATACTAATGCTGCATTAAATTAGTTAGTATCACGTGCATACTCATCATGGTCCATGACGATAGATGTTATCAAGTCGTCTCCAACTTCCAAGATAAAAGGAGAAAGACATAACTTAAATGTCTTTCACGGCTTGTGAAGTATGTCTGTGAGGATAGGAGGCGAAGTATATATCATGTACTAGTGCATGAAAATAGCTACAAAGTGAATATTTACTTTCTATTTAAAAGTTTTTATTAAAAAACATCCTATCACAAACCGTGACATTTTTTTGTTGTTGTTTAGCTTTTTCTATGCGTTCACTGTGGCTGAAGAATTAGATTTCTATCTTTACACTTCAATACTCATTTTTACGAATCAAGAAATCTTTCCATTGTGTTAAACAGTGATTCGAAAGAAGAGAAAAGATTAAACTTATCGATTCTTAGGAATTAATATATTATTTTTAAAAAATTGAACAAGAATTCTTTCATTGTTCTTATTGCTAGCGCCTATGAAGTTGTTAACTATTAGAAGCTTCAAAAGTTGTGTGAGTTTTGCATTTTATATCTTCTTAGAGTTGTATTAATAAACTTTTTTCGAACGAAGTATTTAGTTAATGGTTACATTATCAACAGATCAAGGTGTAATCAGTTTCAATTCTATATTTGAATCGATCAGTTGTTACTGGTTATATCAATTGAATTTTTTTTTATTTTAGCTTGTTAGGTATGGATGCCATTTCTCTCTTTACTCACACTTAAAAAGTGTAGAAATTTTCAATGTACTTGCTCTATATTGACTTCAATATCAACTGGATGTAATACTTTTATTGTTCTCATACTGATTAATTTATATCATCAGTTTATTTTTGTTTTGCTTTATGATATAGAAATTAAAGAACAACAAAACTATATTTAATATTATATATAATAGTAATTTATATGTCATCATTTCGTCCATGGGAATTATAACTCTGTTTCGATAGTCTATCGGATTTTTTTCTAGCGATAAATTTGTCACTTTATCTAACACGTCAGATATTGACGAAGTTTATTCTACGAATTTTTTCTCCTACGATTTCAGGATGACTTTGAAATCTAGAAAAACTTGAACACAATATTTCCCTTATCGGCCAAAACGCGTAACATGTCAACTGAATGACCGGAAGTTTGAAGTCATCATTTTTGAAACTCGTCATCGCTATTGTGTAGAGCATAGTCGAAAGTATATGGAAACATATTTTGCTTCGTTAATAAATGCCTTGAAGCGCTTGTTAAAAATTGATAGGAGAGAGAGGTCACTCCTATATAATGAAAATTCCTGTATTTAGACTATTAGTTCCGCTAACCCTTATATCGAAACAACTTGATATATATAAATTTGATTAAGACTAATTAAGACTATGATAATAGATCTATCTTTTGGGATAGCAGCTGGTTTCCTGTATGTTATACATATTTGCAGCGAGCTTAAGTAAAACTACCAAATTTATAACGTCATCGCATAACGAAAAATGAGTATTGTTTGTCTTTCTCTGGATAGTCTCAACTTTTTTTAATATAAAATACATATCTAAAGCTAATTTTTTATAAGCTATCTAATGCACATATTTTTATCCGAAAAAAATTCCGTTTTATAATTATTTTATGTAACGCGATGACGTTTTTTACCGTTTTCTACATTTTTTGCATATCTCTAAAAAGCTTTTTCAGATGGTGATTTATTATTCAAAAACCACTGTAAGCTATGAGTAATGTATGTTTTTATTAATTACTAATAAATTACCATAAGAATATAGGTGATTGGTCTAATAAGTTGATTGAATTCAATTAAAATTAAATTATCGATCAAAATCATTGATCGTTTCTATGATAATATACGTAAGGTCGGAGAAACTCAAAATTCTAGTAAACATCTTTTCTCGATAATTTATATATGTGGTTAGACAGAGCTCATATAACTGTCTAAGAAAATATACTTTAAAAAAAATTTCATTTTATTATACATACAAAACACTTAAAATACTGAGATGATTCAAAACGGAATGATCTCAGTAATAGAATGATCTTAGTATTTTTTGAGTTTTTTTTATGTATATAGAAGAGTGAAAAAAAATTTTAAAGTACATTTTCTTAGACAGTTTTATGAGCTCTATCTAGCCATATATAAATTATTGAGAATAAATGTTTACTGAAATTTTGAGTTTTCCCGACCTTATACAAACATTGCTTTTTATATATTAGTCAAACTAGTTTATTTTTTTTTTTACGATTTTTTTTTATATTAGAAGGATCAATAAATACAGCATTTAACATTTGCATACTTTAATCCTTAGAGTAAAAATAATACCTTGTCTTTACAGAGGTGTACGTATAACAAAATGAAGCATAGAAAAAAAAAAACTTACAAAAGTCATCGTCATCGCGTTACGCTAATGAAACTGATCATTCTTCAAAATAAGAAGCCTGTTTGAAAATTTTTTATCCATTGGATACCTCAAACTATTAGCTACAAACCGTCTATGGAACGTTTCTTTTAATGTAGTATACATTCGCAGAAAAATAAACATCTATTATCAATGATACAACGACATATAATAAATGTTATGAATCATACTTTATTGCTTTTAAACAAATTAATCGATTATTATGGTATTATGATAGTATAGATACAGGTTATTTCTTAGCTTATATAGATGGACAATGTGAAAAAGCAATATTTACAGATGCATTGTATGGTCAAGTATTAGCATTTACATATGGATTAGGTCCTTTATATAGTATATCAATAGATGAAAAAACATTTAGAAAGTGAAGTACGATTAGCAGATACACCATATGGTTTAAGAATGTTAACTGGACGAGAACCATTAACAAATCCACAAGATAATTCTATATGGATGGATGCATCACAAGATTGGTCTGTATTAAATTTATGGTTTAATATAGATTTAGATAGTGCATTAATACAATCGGAAAAAGGCTTAAATCATGTAAGACAAACATTAAATGATCAATGGAATATACATAGTTTATATGCAGGTGAGATGGTTGTGGTATTGGAGGAAAACCGTGGGTTACATCACATTATGGTTTTCATATGGTCTTATGGTATTTACCATTTGTAATTACAGGTCAATATACAGATTTAACAAAATGTATATTATTTGTTTTCACGTAAATTACGATCACCATTTATTTTGCCTGTACTTATTCCCAATAGTTTTGAATCAATAAGTGCAACTCCATTATTAAATGGACAATCATCGTATATAAAGGGTGTCCCAGAAGTTCTCAAACGATTTTAAAATTCATCGTTCTCGCATTCAACAAACGCAAACTCTTTGAAACTTTGATATATTATTGCACATATGTAGTGCCACATAACTACAACGTTTGAGGTCTATAGATTCAACTATAGCAGAGAACCTATAACAACACTATGACGTACGATTTGTAAAATTTTCCTGTATTCTGGGTCTGCCAAAATATTTATATTTCGGCTTAGGTAGATGATAAAATCTTGAATTTTTTTTTTAAAAGATGCGCCGTGAAAAGCTCTAGAAAAATTGTAATAACAAATCCTTATTGATTTGTGTTAATGGTTTCTGCCATACACAAAATGATAAATCTGCATGATAGTACTACTTCTCACCATATTGTGCGTAATAAAAAAAATGTTTGTCTTACATGATTTAAGCCTNGGCGCGGGTAATAGTTCCATATTCACTCCTCATCATTTACCATACACCCTTGCCCTCACCCCGACACGTATCTTCAACCAGACAGCCACGAATAGTTTGACTAAAAATTTTAATTCTTCCTAGTTCAGATTAAAATTTTGAAGTTAACTAGTTGACTTCAAAATTTTAATCTGAACTAGGAAGAATTAAAATTTCAATCTGTCCTAGTTCGATTTAAAACTGAACGCGATTTTAATTTGTCCTACGACATATATATAAATATTTATTGATAAAATAACTTAAAGAATTTGTTTAATTTAGACGATATATTCGACTTTTTCATGCATATACTCGACGTCGTATTCATAGAATGGTTAAATCACAAACATTCTACTGGATTGTCATTATTCTTGTATTAATGAATACAGCTGTACTAGCAAGTGAATACTATGGACAACCAGAGTGGTTAACTTATACTCAAGGTATGAGTATAGTTTTTGAGAACATGGAACTTGTAATAATGTTCGATATACATTTCATTAATGTTATATTAATAATCATAGATAAATCTTTTTCTAATAGAATAATTCAAATCACAGAGAAAAAAAAAGTTATGGTTTTTCCACAAAATTAATGATAGTTGAAAAACATAGAATTTCTTCTTAAGATTTGATTGGAAACTATAGAGTGAATATCAAATGTAGAACATAGTGAGAAACTCTTCTACAGATGAGCGGAGGAAGCGGTAGATTACTTTCGTTTTGCTGCTGCTCCAAACGCATAATAGTCTTGCTTAAGAATATAGATAAAAGCGTGCAAAAAATGCTAGCGAACATAGTTTGATATATTCTCCCTCATTGAGAATAGAACAACCTTGACATATCTACTTGAAATGTTATAAGTGAACATAAGGTCAATTCTCTTGTAAACTTAATTATTTATATTATAATTGTTTTTCTTGTAATCCAAAATAGAATCATAATTTCATATGTGAGTTGATTATCATCAATATTATTAAAACCAAGCACGTTCTTTTCTTATTAAATTCAAGATTTTATATACGTATAATATTTTCACATAAGAATTTATGCAAAATTCTATGAAAATCTCCTACAAAGTACTCGAAAGTATAATTTGACATGCGTTTTCGTTCCTTGAAATTCTGACATCTAATCAGTTGAATAATTCGATCTAATAGGAGCAGTGAGAAATCCAGGAAATCCGCTAAGAAATTATGATTATGAGCGAAGAATGGTTCTTAAATCCCGGTCGAGATATTATGAGCTCCGTTAGTTTTTCGTTTCTGCTAAGAAAAAAAAATCTCTCAGCAGAGATAGCATTAGTGTTTGGTGGGTAGAAAAATTATCTAGAAGCGGAAGTGCAATTCCAGCTACGGCTCCGGTTCGACTCTCAAAAAAATATCATGTGAAACGGAAACCATTCAATCATCAGATGAATACGAAAATTTGAAATATATTTTGACGAATTTTCACTATTGAATTGTTAAGATTAAAGACACTACATATTTCACTACTTAAATAAAACTATATTAAATATGTTTTTTTTGCGAGATTGTCGAATTTTAGATAGCATTTGCCATTGAACATAAGAACTCATAAATTTATGAACATTTCTAAATAATTGAATATATTTTAGAAATAGCCAATCGAATATTTGTCATATTATTTTCATTTGAAATGCTTCTTAAAATGTATTCACTTGGTATAACTGGTTATTTTGTATCAAATTTTAATCGTTTCGATTGTTTTGTTGTTATTGCATCAATTATTGAATTTGTTCTTATTTATCGAGATTTAATGCCACCATTAGGTATATCTGTGCTTCGTTGTGTTCGTCTATTACGTGTATTTAAAGTGACACGTTATTGGACAGCATTAAGAAATTTAGTTGCATCATTACTTAATTCAATGAAATCTATAGCATCATTACTTTTGTTATTATTTTTATTTATTGTCATATTTGCTTTATTGGGTATGCAAATGTTTGGAGGAAAATTTGATCGAATATTTGAAGTTGAAGAAAAACCAAGAAATAATTTTGATTCATTTTGGAGTGCACTTATTACAGTTTTTCAAGTAATAACAAATAAGAAAGCTATAGATATATATATATATATATATGTTCTTTTTGTTAAATAGATTTTAACAGGTGAAGATTGGAATGAAGTATTATATACGGGTATACGTGCACTTGGTGGTCTTGGTCTTGTTGGTACGGTTGTTTGTGTTTATTTTATTGTTTTGTTTATTTGTGGTAATTATATATTACTCAATGTATTTTTGGCTAGTAAGTTATTTTTAATAAATCAAATAAATAAATAGCAAAAAAAAATGAAAATAATTATTGTGATTTCTAGTCGCCGTTGATAATTTGGCTGATGCTGAAAATTTAACTGCAGCTGAAGAAGAAGAACAAAAGAAACGAGAAGAAGCCAAATTAGGTGAAGGAAGTAAACTCAATGGAGATGTACCAGGAGCAAATCAGTAAGTTGTTATTTTGTTTTTGTGTACTCAAAAAGTGAGCACACTCTAGAATCGGTCAGTATGTCCGTCCGGCCGGCCGTATACACAATAACTTTCGAAAGGAGAGTCCGATCACGATGAAATTTTCTACACAGTTCAGTCTTAACAATGTCTCGATCGAGTTCGAAGATGAGCAGGATCTATCAAGAAATGGCTGAGTTATCGAAAAAATTGTCATTATTGAGAAGACCATCCCTGAAGGGGGGTACAGGGATTTTTTCAAAAAAAAAAATTTTTTCTCCGAACTATTCGCAATATATATAAATCGTCGCAGTTTTTAACGCTGATTCCGAATCTGATATTAGTTTTGAACCAAACCGTAGCTTTCTAACAAAACATCCCCTGAAAAAGGTCTCAAAATGCAGAAAAACTACATGAAGAAAGCAAATAGTCTAGATATGTCTCAGATGATAAAAAACAAAGTGAATATACCTTTTCACTTTTTGAAGTACACATAACACTTGGATTTAAATCCGATGTTTTCGCATTTATTTAAATAATATAATCAAAAAGAGTAGCGATTGATACTAATAGAAAATATATTCGAAAAGTTTCGTAGTTTTTTTTTTCTTTCATAAACTTGAATTTTTATTAATTCCAATTGAAATATAAGACTAAGATCTAATTGCATAAATTTTTTTTGATTCTAATTAAGTAACTTCGAGATAGTTTAATATTGATGATCAATTGATCTTTCTCAATATAATTCGAAACTAAAGATTAAGATATTTATCATATGACACATTTTTATGGAACAGTCTATAGTATGGCTCATTTAAATGCATTGATCGAATATAATACAAGAATCTAAATTGATTTATGATAGTGAATAGATTATATTGTATTGTATTTGTTCGGAAATGAATTATTTCGAAGGTAATAAGACCTTAATTGATCTTTTTATATGTATGGATCAAGTTTTTTTCCTTCCTTTTGCAGTGATAGATATCATCAACGACGATAACTTATCGTCGATTAGGGTGTGGATGTGGTTTTGCATATGATTCATTGCTTCATTCATAGCCACACTTTCTATTATCTTACAGAAAAATTATTTCGTGTTCATGACAATCTATGTTTTATTTATTTTAACATAAAACCCAATGGAACTTCTGTCTTAGAACATTGGTGCTCCAATAGTTATTCATTAATTGAATTATTAAACAAAAATGTAATGAGTATTTTATTGCTAGTCGTTATCTAATTTTACCCAATCTGAACTACCTGAAATCATATTAAAATGAATTTCGTTGCATATGTATGTTTGTTTTTGGCTTCTTTATGATATTGCATCAACTATTCATTCTGTAAATATCCTACTGTTTCTAGACGCAATTCTTCTTAATAGAATACATATTTGAATAGAATGAAAAAAAAGCGAAAAAGAAGGAGAGCATACAGAAACGAAAGAAAAAACATTACCATGAAGCACACGTAAGAATCAAGTCATTTGAAAAAGAACAGGCAGACAGTGTACAACTAAACAAATATTAATAAGCAGTAAACATAACGGTTGCAACTATTTGACTGTGGTGAGTTAATTATTAAGAAAATTCGAAAGGAAAATACTTAGTGTCGAGACACTGCGAATATTAGTAAAAAATAATACAGATATAACATTGATAATCATGATCGACTTTACATAAGCTGATCGATACGTCAATATACTTAGAATAATTCAAAATTAGTCTCGTCAAGGTCTTATTTCCTTTTAGTAAACAAAATAATTTTCCTTTTTGTGAATAAATAGAGCGTCTTTCATTTTATCTTTCTATTCCATTTGATCGATCGTCATTCAATACTAAAATAAAAACCCTTGGTGAAAACTATTTTTTGTTGGAAGCTGACTAGTGGTATTATTTCCTCTACTGAAAGGAGGGTAATGCGGTGAGCAGCTCCCAAAACCAAATGTTCGTTCTTTAGTTCGTTAGTTGGCATTGCAGAACGAAAGAAAAAAAGTATACAAAACGAAAGAGGTGTATACATTGATTTGAGTGGCTGAAGAACAAAAGAAAACGAAAATATTGATATAAACACATTTTCAGCCGACATAGCGAGTTTTGTTTATCATGTTTTTACAACATGCTATCTATAAAAAGAAGCATTTTTGGGTGACTTTGCAGATCTATCGATCGACTGCAGTCTTGTTATTGTCACCCATAGATACATTTTTAACAGCATGATGTACCACGGATAATATCAATAATACACTTTGTAAATGTAAGTGACATGTCACTCGCACCAGTTATCTTACTGCAGTAGAAAATCCAAAGCAAGAAAACGTCTTCAGTATGAAAGAGACCTTCTAGAAAATACACTGGATAACGTAAATCAATTATGAAGTAATTCAAAAATAATAATTTTTATACTAATTCAATTTTCATCACATTTACCAATACTTTTAATAGTATTTGCTAAGGTCTACTAGAGTCTACTGGGCTCTTTTTGAGGATGAGAATAGAAGTACAAACACATCCAGTCTCTTCCCTGAGGGTGAAGGTGAGGATGAAAACACACACACACATTCGTAGGAAGACTGGAAAGACCCTAGAAAACCTACATAGTTTCTTGTAGATCTCGCTTGATCCTATAAGATCATAGTCAACTCTGGTAAAATTATGTTATAACTTTTATATCAATGTGCGAGTAGAAGTACAATTTGTATTATAATTGTCTTATGTACAGACATGTATAATGACATTGTATGCCAGTACATGAAATGAATTCTTGAATTTTACGTTCCAGAGGAGTGAGTGAGGATGAGAATGATTGAAATAATTCTTGAGTGTGGCTTTGAGGATGAATTTGATCTAGTGAAATGTTGAATTCTGAACTTTTGAGAATCATATCCATCTCAGAGTACAAAACGTACTTGTATTTGTGCAGCCTTCACTTTCAGTGAAGTTGATTGTAATGTGGAAAGGCCTTTTTATAAAATAAATTAGTAAATATAAAAAATAACGTGAAATTTTTAAATAGGAAAATAAACCGATATTGACTAAATTTGAGAAGCATTATTGTAAAATCGTTTATTTGTTGTCTTCAAAAAACTATTTTTTTTTGTGTAGAAGAGCAGTTGTATATGATACATGAACAGTACGTATCTTGTGAAAAAAAAGTAANTATCAATGTGCGAGTAGAAGTACAATTTGTATTATAATCGTCTTATGTACTGACATGTATAATGACATTGTATGCCAGTACATGGAATGAATTCTTGAATTTTACGTTCCAGAGGAGAGTGAGTGAGGATGAGAATGATTGAAATAATTCTTGAGTGTGGCTTTGCGGATGAATTTGATCTAGTGAAATGTTGAATTCTGAACTTTTGAGAATCATATCCATTTCAGAATACAAAATGTACTTGTATTTGCACAGCCTTCACTTTCAGTGAAGTTGATTGTAATGTGGAAAAGCCTTTTTATAAAATAAATTAGTAAATATAAAAAATAACGTGAAATTTTTAAATAGGAAAATAAACCGATATTGACTAAATTTGAGAAGCATTATTGTAAAATCGTTTATTTGTTGTCTTCAAAAAACTATTTTTTTTTGTGTAGAAGAGCAGTTGTATATGATACATGAACAGTACGTATCTTGTGAAAAAAAAGTAAGAAATTTGTGTTGCAATTATGTGAAATTTTTTGACTATCATTAATGAATGTCATGTAGATACATCGGAAAAAGAATCTGATGATATAGTTTTTGATAAAATTCGATATCATTATTCATGAGTAGTCGTATGTTATCTTGAAATGTTTTTAAAACATTTTTCTTCTTTCCAAATTCGAAAAATTATTTAAACTACATGGAATTAGATAACCAATTGTTTCTTTGGTCAGTGTATAGTAATGACATATCTATAAACTGATCTTATATCACTATGAGGCTACGATTCGATATGTCATAAAAGAAGATATAGAGTAATTGGAGGTAAATGTATAGAAAAAAAATAGTGAGTTTCAATATATTGATAACAACTTTTTTTATTTTTTAGTTTTTCGAAAAATTTTCTTGATGAAACATCTAGCTGAATTGTTTTCCTATCGATTAGTGAAATCATTTTTTCAAAATCTTGCGAGCTCACTTATCCTTAGGATGTTCTTTGAATCCTGCTTGTCGATTGTACATTTATTACAATGAAAAATAAAAAAAGTTTTTATCAATATACTGAAATTCACTGTTGTTTTCTATATACGTATTTACTCCCAGTTACTCTATATTGTTTATAACTTGATTTAGAAGTTATATTCAAAGAATAAAAGTGACGAATAATAAAGTTACTATAATACTAATTTTTCTAAATTTCGGTAATCATTTGCGTTTATCCTTATAACATATCAAGTTAAGGTAGATTTGGTAAAATTGTAGAAACAAAAATGCATGATACAATTATTGGAGTAAATTTTATATTTTTCGAAAAAAGACCGAATTAGAATTAAAAAAACTAAGTTTCGTTGTTGATTTGATAATAATGATAAAAAATATTTTGATAATATTATTATTAAATTGAAAAGTTTATTTGCGTATATTTCAATAGAATCACTTAACATTTTCATATAAAATCTCGACAATAATGCATCCAGGTCAAACCTGCTCGGTTGTAAACGGTCGTTTACTGTCCAAACACGGTGACTAACAGCGACTGTTAACATTAGCCATTTACAGCAGCAGTAAACGATGCATTACAGCATATTATGGCAATCATACACAGTGTCCGTGAAAGTCCATCATAGAAAGTTACCATAACAATACAATGACTGTATACTTTGGTCGGAAAACAATATAAGACATTGCATATGCCAGTCGTTTACAACAGTCGTATATGTTGTTTTACGGCATACTACGGCAATTTTAAACATTGACCGGAAAATACCACCGTAAACGCTGGTATTATAAAAATTCGTAAGAAATCGTATGCATTAGTTTTACGCGGTAATTACGTACTCACGGCGATCGTAAACG